ACTTAATTACGGCATTAAACAATTTTGATAGGTGGACATATAGCAACGAGTTTCCAAATTTCAAATGTTCATAAACAAGATTGTCTAGACCTCCTGCCTTATTTGTTTTCAACTTTTTACATATATTTTCGATTTCAGATACAGTAACAGATTTCTTCAAAAACTTGTCCTCTTCGCAGATTTGGACATCTATATCTCTTACTTTACTCGAAACGTCATGTTTGAAATCTTCATCAAATAAACTATTGCAGTCATTCTTGAAAATGTTTTCGAAGTGAGATGCCCATTTGTTTACAATAATTTTTGGGTCTCTAAACGTTTGACCGTCACATGTAAATTCTGTTTGAGAAGGTCGCTGTTTCATGGATTTGTTTCTAAATAGATACCAAAACAGTTTTTGATCTATTTCGTTTGATTGATCAATCTCTGATAACTGGTCAGACATATACTTATCAAAAGCTTGTCTAAGATTTCTCCTGAATTCTTTCTTCATCAATTTGTACTCTTTAAAACTTTCCGAGTTCCCACCTCTTGGTTTACCTTCACCGACCCATTTTTGTCTGCTTAATCTCATATTACAATGATAAACAGATAACTGGTCATTCCAATATGGTTTTAGGTAATGCTTGTACCTTACAGTCGGTATAGATTCTAAAGAAGCATTACCTATTGCAGAGACAATTTCACAATGATATTTTTCTATGTATTCCTTGCTTAGACTCAATTCCTGTTCACTATTCTCAGTTTCTGTAACATTGATATGAGACAAATTCTTATTTAAAGCTGCTCTGTAAGCATTAGGGTCTGCTTTCTTCCAATTAAACCGTGTATGTTTATCAGGACGTTTATAATTAAATGTTACATTGGCTGATATCAGTATTGAACTTATCACTGGGACATGTTCTGACAAATTCAAATCATTTTCTTTCAAAATAGACACACTTTCTACTAAATCAAACATACTTGATTCGATAATTATGTGGTCAATAAGTGTTAATTTGCCAGTCTGAGGGGAAAAAGTACTATGAGGCCCAAGGCCTTTATCCTGTACGCTTACCGATATTAAATTACATCGGTTTAAAAACTTTTTTCATTTTCAGTTATGCTACACCTAGTACCTTGAATGTTAACGTTCATGTCTCCTATGAACATCACTTTCCCCTTTTCGGAGTAAACAGATTACAGACCTTCTAGAAGCTCAACGTGTTCTATGAATAACTCTATAGTTCTCGAAGAAGCAGGCATGTATGCAACAAAGCAATACAGAATTAAGTCATCAGATATAGTTATCTCAGCCCCTACTATTCTCGGGCTGTCAACCTCGATCTCTTGGACTCTGAAGGAGGATTCTTTATACAGCAGAGCAACTCCTCCTCTAGTGCTACATTTGTACTTAAAAGGGCCGAATTCAAAAACAGGTTTAGCTATACATCTGTACCCAATAGATTTAAACGTGTCCATAAATGACATATTAAATTCACGTAACCAGTGCTCAGATATCCCACAAACACATCGCATTAACAACTTCAGCCATATCTGTGCTCACTCAAGAAAATTTCGCGTGGCTGCCATTCCCCCATTCGGATTCCTTCGGGCCAGAACGAATCATCGCTGACAATATCTGCGTCCACCGCTACTATGTTCAACTGCGCTGATGCCGTGTTCTTCCATCGTTTCTCAAAATACCTTATCAAAGTAACGCGCACATTAGCTTCCTCAAGATAGCTTCGCATGGCAGCTTCTGAGGATATTTGTCGGTTTATTCCATGTACGTAGAATCGCTTGATTCTCTTTCTTTGTTGTTGCTGGAATCCCACAAATCGCTTTGCCATCGGATTACACACAGATGTTGGGAAATGGACCTTTATCGGGTGTTGAGTTGTCGTTTCAGCTTCCACGGAACGCTTCTCATTCAGAGACTCCGATTGTAACATGTCGCTCCAAGAGATTTGTCGCGTGTCGTTTCCTTGGCAGAGTCCTCTAGCGTTCCGATCGGTTTTAGGATCTAACGTGTCTGTGAAAAAAATTCGCTGTTTGTGTGCTTTCCAAGTTATCCACCTGGTTTACCTGATTGTTCGATGATGCACTCAACCCACTGAATCTGTTAAACGTCTTTACGGCTGGTTCTGTCTTATTCTCCTCGGTAAGATCCACACTCCTGTTGGTCATGTTGTGTTCACTCTTTCTCTGTATATCCTTCCTTAATTTGTCAACTTGTTTCTTTATACCAACTACCGATGCTGCACATGTCTTTATTGATTCCCTTGTCTCACTCATATCTGATTCGTAACACTTTGTGTAGTTGGTCACGCAGTCTGATACCAGTTCCATTGTCTTTTTAACACTTTCAATACCATTCAATTCAACAACGATGAGGTGGTCGTTACAAACCATATACAAATCGTTAAAACCATAGTATGGATCATAAATAAGTAACGGCCTAACAGTAAACTAATGGATAAATGTCAATAGAGTTTAGCGCATAGTAAATAGTTAATATCTTACCAGAGAGCTGAAACAGTATTACGACAGTCATAATGAAAATGTTTTACGAAACAGTATTAACGATAGAACGGACCTATCGGTAATATCTTACTGAATAGTATAAATGGTAAAACGGACATATCGGTAATATTTTACTGAATAGTATAAATGGTAAAAGGGACATATTGGTAATATCTTACTGAATAGTATAAATGGTAAAACGGACCTATCGGTAATATCATACTGAATAGTATAAATGGTAAAACCGACATATCGGTAATATCTTACTGAATAGTATAAATGGTGAAACGGACATATCGGTAATATCTTACTGAATGGTAAATCTTACTGTATAGTATAAATGTTAAAACGAACATATCGGTAATATCTCACTGAATAGTATAAATGGTAAAACGGACATATCGGTAATATTTTACTGAATAGTATAAACGGTAAAACGGACCTATCGGTAATATCTTACTGAATAGTATTAATGGTAGAATTGGGCAATTGAAATTGTCTCTTTTAGTAATATAAACAATAATAGAACGGGCCTGTTGATTTGTCTTTCTAGATACAATGTAGTATAAATGATAGTAGAACAGATATACCTCAACCCACTCATAGGAGCCGAAGAGCCCGTACTCCTCCGCATCCCAGCTACAGAATATGATAGAGCGTCGCGGCCGCCATCTCCCTGTGGCAATTTATAAACTAGTTTATATGACATTAAAATCATAGATTACAACGATGAATTAACTTGAAATATATATAAACATTTTTGACCATAATGTATTATTATATGTATGCTTCATTATCAAAATGCAAAAATGTGTTCTCAATGACAAATTGGCCAGTTTATCCATGTTGCCTATCACCATAGAGACGTGTACTTACCTCAGACACAGTTACCTTGTTTGAACAGATTGTTCGTACTAGGTGTCAAACATCCTTATTTACCAAGTTTCCCTTACCATCGAGACATGTAGTTACAAGGGTTACATTTACCTTACTTACCAAGTTTCCCTTACCATCGAGACGTAGTAACAAGGGTTACATTTACCTTATTTACCAATTTTCCCTTACCATCGAGACATGTAGTTACAAGAGTTACAATTACCTTATTTACCAAGTTTCCCTTCCCATCGAGACATGTAGTTACAAGGGATACATTTACCTTATTTACCAAGTTTTCCTTACCATCGAGACATGTAGTTACAAGAGTTACATTTACCTTATTTACCAAGTTTCCCTTACCATCAAGACAAGTAGTTACAAGGGTTACATTTACCTTATTTACCAAGTTTCCCTTACCATAGAGACATGTAGTTACAAGGGTTACATCTACCTTATTTATCAAGTTTCCCTTACCATCGAGACATGTAGTTACAAGGGTTATATGTACCTTATTTTATCACGTTTCCCTTACCATAGAGACGTGTAGTTACTAGAGTTGCCTTTTTACGTACCCATCACCATGGAGATGAGTAAGTACGTGTGTTACCTTGTTTCACCAGGTTTCCCATTACTCTCGATGCTTCTTTCATGACGGCCGTGGCACTTGAAGGGTCAATGGCGCCAAACACCCATGCGTCTCTGTGGTTACCAATCAACACGTACCGGTCTGTAAGAAAGAATAGCATATTAATAGAAAACTATTGATGTCCTGCTAGGTGTTAACGATGTTATTTGTCATAAGAAATGTCATTGAAATCCTAAAACCATAGATGATGTTTGGAAGACCTTACCTGGTTCTATGGCTCCTCGTATTACTCCGAACACGTTATGAATTCGCCTCATGTAACTCTGTGTTGAAATAAACATCCGTATTGTCCTGCAAGCACATAGTCACATGTACAGTAACCAATCAGCTTCTAATCCAATATTCCGTCCTTTACTGCTTTTTTTAGTTCTAGTTTAACAGATATAATATTTAAAGTCAGACATCAATCTGTTAAAGTTAGCTTACATATCATGCCGTGTATTACTGAAGTATAACAACCATTTTCACAAAGCAAAATTGGAATTCTGAATAAGATAGATATGCTCCATAAATTGCTTGAGACTCATATAAATTTAACTCATCTTGTCCTGGACTCGCAAAAATAATGTTTACAGCTGAAATATAGAGCAGTTGAATGAGACTTACCAGCCGTCCGTCTGTAATACTCCTCCGAGTCTATACGTGATGTTTAAACCCCCTTTCCACTGAGGGGGAACCTCTTCTCCAGACAGCTCCCTGATAACAATATACCACATCAATGTAAATACAATACCATCCCAAGCCAAGGTGTTTTACTCTCCTCTAGTTTACAATACAACGTAATACATGTACTTCTGATGTGGAAAGGCAAATATTGGTAGAAAAAACTCATACATAGTACATGTTGTTGTCCAGTTCACTAGAGGTTAAATTATGTCTTGTATCGATATAACATCGCATACACGAGCTTTCAGACCGTTAATAGACAAAACGTCAGCTTTTTATGAATCACATGTTGGCGACTAACCATATATGACGCACCCAATCAAAATTTATCAGACAAGAAAATGATTGCAAACATTTACAAAGAGATGCATATTTTCTCAAAATGGGTTGGTAATTTCTATTCTATCTGGAAAATGTAAAAATGATGTGAGTTTGCAATTATAAAGTGGCTGAGAACTTATTATATCTATTGGAAAATTTACGAGTGAGTAAAGACACCGAAGATGACAATTTAAGTTTCGACAAACACACTTTTAGGGGAACATTTACTCATCCTCATTCAAGATGTTGTTTACTGTTTTTACAAATCATATGTGGTTTCTTCTTTAACTACGTATTATAGATCACATCGAATCAAAATATACAACACAAGGCAAAAAAACCAGGTACCGAGTCTTTCAAATATCTCACGAATAACGAAACAGAAATTTAATTTACCGACGTCTGCCTACAGAAAATCGAGAGACGACGTATTAGAATTAAACAAGGTACTTCACTGGGAATACCACTCGGATATTACGAATTATATCCAATTGTGAGAGGGTTTCAATTTCCCGAGGAAATGATTCAATGAATAAATATTGATGTTTTCTTAAACGGACATGAGAAAAACTCTTTTTAAACCAAGAACAATCAATACATAGAATAGTAGCATGGGCAACAGATAATGAGGAGCGTTGAGTTAAACTGGAGGAACATTGGATATTCCGTCTTTGCGTATTGCAGAGTTATCTTCTCTTGGGAGCAGGTATTGATTGTTACGTCATTGGTTTGTGTGAGAAAATTACGTCGTTTTCTCAAAAATTGATGACGTTACTCTCACAAACAAGTGACGTAACAATCAATACCTGCTCCCAAGAGAAGATAACTCTGCAATACGCAAAGACGGAATACCAGAGCCAAAAACATCTTTTCGCGACATCTTGCGGATTACACATGTACAAGTAGACAAGAGTTTGACTTGATTTAAGTGAATTACAAGAAAGTTAGTTTGAGCAGAGCATCCGCGATTGAGCATGAGAACAGTTGCATTAAAACATGCCCTGATTGTCTTCGATTTTTTCATGACATATTCCAAGGTTAGAGAAGATATGTGTATCGAAGTGGAACCGGTGTTTTGAAGATGACTAACCTGAGAAGTATCTCTGCCGTGCCGTAACCTACAGGGTGGACTGGTATAGTAGGCAGGTCCGCCTCACTGCTGTCCTGTTGGTACCTGTACGCTGTTTCTATAGTATTGACGTTCAATATTAAGGCAAATGCTCAGGCAGAAAAGGAACAAGCATGGATATTCTTAATATCATACACGACCGAACCTCACATCAAATGACATAGGTTATCTGTAATGTAACGACACCTTTCATTGGTTAATAATCATATATTACATGTATTTGACAAATGTTCATGCGCGTGCTTATACTATTTTTTTTCAACAAACCATGCCCGTACAACGCTCTTCAAAACAATTCCCGTGTATTACATCTATACAAACGTAAACACGCAAAAAGCGTAGGTCTGGTTTCCTTTGTCGGCTGATGGTGTACCAATAAATGTAGTATAAGAAAGTGTTTCTGATTTACCTACAGATGTATTTATAACTGTCAAGCTCACTTTCGGACCTTACTGGAAGGTGACCGGAATAATGTTTGTAAGTCTGTCAAGTATTTTTTTATGTGATGAAGGGCGTATTCGAAGAATTAATACAATTGAATGATGTAAATTTTTAATGTTCATCGTCTGCCGGATTGGGAAACCAAATGACGACTGTAAATGAAGTTTGTTAGGTTTTCAACCCCGAGCTAAGGTAAAACAATACTCCCCGAACTTCATTAAGTAGTGTCAACTTGACTGAGTATGATGCCTACCTGTAGCAGGGTATCCCAGTGTTAGGGGATCGCCGCTCATTTTCCCCACAGTGCCCCGCTGTATTCTATAAGCTTTACAATATGGGTATTAAATGGAAAGTATGGAATATCATGAAACTAATGTATTCTCGATTTACCAGTAATGTTGTTTTTAATGGTCTCAAGTCGGACAATGTAATCATGAAACGGGGAATCTTACAAGGTGGGTCTTTATCCGCAAAACTGTATTTAGTCTTTATTAATGATTTGCTAAATGAAGTGGAATTTAGAGGGAAAGGGGCATTAGTTCTTTCCTCGCGAATCAATATACCTACACAAGCTGATGACATATGTATTATCAGCAATAACGTTAATAGTTTACAGTATCTACTCTCTATTTGCGAGAAATACAGTAGAAAGCGGAGATTTACATTTTCCTCTACTTAATCTCAAATTGTTGTTTTTACTTCTAAAAAGAAACCCAATATTAATTGTGATATAACTGTATATGGAAAGAAACTACCAATTGTAGAAAGTATTACTCATGTCAGCGTTTTATTGAATAGCAGAAATAACAATGTCGAACGTACAGAACGTGCTTGTTCCAAATTAAAAAGTGGTGTTATGTCCTTAATTCGTTCTGGAGCACATCCATGTGCTCTGAATCCTTTAACTACTGCAAAAATTGTTAAGTGTAAAATATATCCCTCAGCACTGTATTGGTGTGAATTGTGGCAATTAAAGCAAAACAAAATGTACATGTTAGAAAAAGCACAAAACTTCATTGTCAAATCAATCCAAGGTTTTAATGTAAGAACAAGAACAGATATGAGCACGTCCTTGATTGGTTGGTTTTCTGTAGAAGTATACATCAGCGTAAAGAAAATGTTATTTTTTGGTAGAATATGTTCCATGGAAGTTGGCTGTTTAACACGCGAAATTCTTATCAAGCGTCTATTCGAATTCAACCTGTCTCAATTTAGTAGAGGTTTTATTCCCGACATTGTTAATATTTTACAAAAATACAATTTGTATCATGTTATTAATGAATTTTTGGAGAGTGGTGTATTTCCAAACAAATGTCAATGGAAGTGTTTAGTCAAAGACCATGTAAAAAAATATGAACAGTTTAATTTATGTGAAAGAATGAAAGCTTATAGGGACTTCTCTCGCTTCACTCTTTTACATAATAAGATACAACCGTATGCTATATGGAAACTTGCTTTACGCTTTCCACAATACAGTCCATGTTTTAAGAAAGTTGTTAAACTTTGTGTTGAAATGCGCGATAATGAAAATATATACTTGTGTCATTACTGTGGATCTATGCACACAGATACTATTATGCATAGTGTACTCGAATGCTCACACACAGAGCTATTACGTGACCAGCTCTGGTGTGTACTCAGTACTGTAAAAGATATAGATTTTGTGTTTTATCTTAATGTAATGTGTAATTACCATCTACTTCATGTTCTTCTTGTTGGTATTTTCAACTATGACTTATCTCCATATGAACTGGAGGACTTTAGAATAAAATCCATTGTTATTATTACTAAAATTCTTCAATACAGTGGTATTATGTAATTTATCCTTAAATATTTGAATGTTGTATACTGAGTAATATGTATGTGATCACAAATTTACTTGTTTGTACCTCACGCTTCAGCAAGATTAACAACATGAAATACATATATTTTTGTATTCATATTAGTAGGCAAGCATTTCCTACGTCTTTCCTGTTGATTAGTGCAACTTACTACCATTCATAATATTGTTTGTATTGTATGAATTAATCTTGTGAGATGTATTACTACAACTGAAATCATTGTATGGTTGCGCTGTTTCTTCAAGTTAATTATTATATTGTATGTTGTGTATTTCACACCACTGTATGACTATATTGTATGACTTCGTGCAACGGGTTCTACTCAATGTATGATTGTATTGTAAGACTTATGTAACAGTAATACTGTCTATAATAATGCTGTATAATTTATAGTGTGATGCTTGTAATACTGTTTATTACAATGTTGTATGATTGCTTAGTACGAGAAGTGTATTACTGTCTATACTATTATATGATAATGTAGTACGAGAAGTGTATTACTGTCTATACCATTATATGGTAGTGAAGTAGAGAAGTGTATTACTGTCTATACTGTTATATGATAATGTAGTTTGAGGAGTGTAAATATGTCTATTATATCAATGTGTGATGTAATGTATGATAAGTGTTATACTGTCTATCATCATAATTATCAACGTTTAATGACTGTAATAGTACCTATTATATCATTGTGTTGTGTTTATAGTACTTTATGGTATGATGCGGGTACTATTATTATTCTCTTATGTGTGTGTCTGTCCATGTGCATGTGTGTGTCACTATGTAAGGGTGTGACCATGATTGTGAATGCATTTTCCTCTCTTTCAATAGTGTTGAATTGTATGTGTATGATGCCTACCTGTAGCAGGGTATCCTCGTGTTAGCGGATCGCCGCTCATTTTTCCCACGGTGCCCCGCTGTACTCCCGACGGAGGAAGCCACCAGTCATCCGGGTACACTTTTGACGTACTTCCGTTTGGTACATCCTCTGCAGGATCCGAGTAAAGAATGATACCGATAGCGCCATATCTAGTGGCCAGTTTGACCTATAACGGAACAAACTAAGCATGCATTTTCCTCTTTTTACACAAAAAATATCTACAGTGGAGAAATTCATAGGAAACAAAACAAATACGGCATCAGTCGAAAAGCACTACAAACACCACTAATTGACCTTGTTTTCCATATCTGTCCGCTAAGAACCCCTATCACAAAACGGAGTTCTCCATACTATAACAATCGTGTCGTCACTAAACCTATCTTCATACAGTGCTATAACAATCGAACTCGTCACAAACCTTGTCGCCCCGGAAGGGCTGCCCATACCGGGCTATTACAATGGCGCCGGTGACGTTGACCGAGGTATTGTTTCTCAGCCAGCGGTAGTCCTCCAGCCTCCCGTAGTTCACGTAAACCAGGCGCTCCTGTTGGACACAATACGGCAGTCGTATATATGTAATAAAAAGCTGATTGGTTAAGCTATGTTTTTATTATCATCATAATTTCTATTTATTTTCGGTGTAAAAAGTAGCACGCGAGAGATTGTGCATAATTTGCATCCAATTTTCACATTAATTTTGAAACTTTCTGAATCGTCCAAAGCAAAAAGGAAAACTAACAAAGTCTCATAAAATCGCATTTTCAAAACAAAACAAAACAAATCAATAGACTCACACGGAATAAGAAATAATAATTATTGTGGCGAGTTAGCCCTACTTGCCTTTTCGCTACGTCAAAGGATCAAATCAAGAAAGCGTCATTTTGCTTTCTTAACGGCGTACTCTCGCGGCGACAACGCGAAAAAGTGACGGCGCCACAAAGCGTAATTAATCAGAATAAAATAACTCTTTTCACCTTTCTGTTCGACATGGGAATTGTAGCTGGAACATGCTTAAAAGCGTCAACAAGCGAAAACAGTGTCTCAACAAGCGACAACGGGCATACCAAACAACATCTTTAAGACTATGAAGTAAATAAAATAAATACTGTATGTTATTCAAGTCCACGAAGCGTCTTCAAACTGTCTCTCAAATTATGACAATTAAAGAAATGGACATCAGAACATACGTTGTATAGTGTTTCAGTTAAATTGAAAAATTATGATGATTTTTCCTTTTTAATAGTGGCAAATTTCTGCTATCGACTCATGAGTTACGAATGATGACAAATTATAAAAGAGGTCACCATAATCTTTGAGGCTCTCGACATTATCCTTGAATACGACGATATAATTTTTTAACTTATTAAGCATATTATCACATTTGCACCCGGGATAACTTTTCGAGACATTTATGCTCGGACATCGGCTAGCCATTTATATTTATACAAAATAGAACAAGGGTAGGTTATTTACGTTACATATTACATATTTCTGCCATATATTTACGAGTGACGTATGTTGACATATTTCTTTAAAAGTATGTCGAAATAATCGGAGAAAATGTCGAACTACTTTGTCAATTTATCGAATTATACTCGCAGTGTCCGATATATTTTTGTCGAAGTAATTTTCTCCGACGTCAGTTGGTACATTTAACTCTGCTACTGATCGTGATGCATCCTCGATACTCCATGGGTTACGCCCACTTACGCTCTTATAAATCCGGTTATAGTGCCTGGCTACATACGAAACCCAAGAAGAGGCATCTTGGGGACCAGACTTTATTGATAAATCGATTGGTGTACATGCAGCTCGAAATATATTTATGGTAATATATATTAAAGGAAAAATGGCCTATAATTAAAGCCAGAATTAGATTAAATCTAATATATACACAAATGTACAACCAATCATACACACCGCTGTGATATCCCCGGGGGCAGAGTAGGCATTAAAGGGCGGTACCACACCACTCTTGTTCTCACTCGGGTGTAGAATTGCCTCCCTTAGCGGAGACTGGTACACTACTCCGCCGGTGGCGTTGATCAGCTCTATCCGGTTCATCATGTCGTCATCAGTGACGTTTGGGTAGGACAACAGGACGTCATAAGGCGTGACGTAGACCTCGTCCAGTCCCTCCTGTCTCCAGAAGTCATGTAGTTCCATGGCCAGGCGGTAGTTAGCCTCTGTCCCCGCGAGATGGGGTAGCTGAGTCAGGTCTCTGAGATGCAGTGATATAGTGATAAAGTGAAGGAATGTCTGAACAGGAACTTAACACAAACCAACATGACCTGTTTTGTTAATTTTTTTAGTGGATTCGTGTCAATGTTTGATCAAATTCAACTTTTAATACAAACTTTATTTGTTTTACAACAATCATAAAACAAGTTATTTCAACCTATTTTAATCACTCTTGCTGGTCTGGATGTTAGCGCGCCGGGGGTTGTAATGTGGGAGGAAATGCATTGAAGATTTCTAATATTCTAGTGGTAAGAAGTCTTAATACGGATTCTATACGGGCTTATTTTTTATTTATTTTTGTAGATAGGCCTCGATTTCCAAGAAGGTTTTCGTGCGTGGGGAACATACAGAACATGGACAAAGTGTTTACAGATCGGACCCCTGCTGCGGTTTGCGCGCTTAGGGGTTTGAAAAGAAAAATAACAAAAATTAAAAACAATACCTCACCATGACTGCTATACTGTATTACCTCAGATATTCCCTGATGTTTTCACTTTTGATGGCGTCCATGATGATGTCGCTTACAGCTGGGTCACCATCTTGGATAATTTTGTTCGAAATTCCTGGCAGAAAGACACCATCTCCAAGTTCCTTCTTATCAAAATTTCCAATAAAAAGTCCAATAGCTAAACCTATCAACAGACCGACCAGACCGGTGATGCAGGCGTCTTTCCACTTGATGAGATTTTTCTTGTGGGCTCCAGAAGAACCCTCGAGGGTTGAATATTCCATTGTGATCGAAACCTATACCGGAGTCTAACCGGTACTGAGTCAGTTAGGTGTTCGCACGTTTGCTTGAAACACAAATGATTCACACATCTGCTGGAGGTTCACTAAAACTTTTGTTTATCTGATGCTACCAGTGCTAGATAGATATCTGTGTTAGGTTCACTAGGGAACACCTGTCACTGGTATGTATTTCTAATGTTGATTTGCATTTCGGTAAGTATCAATCGATACCAGAATTATTTTACTGGTAACTGATCTCACCAATCACACGCTCCGTATTAAGTGAAACAGAATATAATTTACACATTTAGCGATATCTGATAAAGAATACTTTTCAATCTCAATATGCATGCGTCTACCTTTTTTATGGAATGCACTTTTGACTTTGCATATATATTTTATGATCAACATATGTGCGTATGTAGAATATATAATGAGGATGTGAAATGGTGGGAAAACGTTTTAGTGAAGGCCATCATTCAACATTTCGAATCACGACGGTAACTACTACTTAATTAATGATATAGGTTGAGCTTCGCATCAAAGATCATTTGGGGACGAGTCTCGTTGTGTTTAATGTATGTGTATAGGTGAACACCCTCACAATTGCAAAGTCAATAAATATTGATTAGTGAGTTTATGTTTTCAAAACTTTTTTCAGACTAGGTGAAAAAATAACCGCCTCGCGGAGTCCGCCTCTCCCAGCATGTCTCAGACTTGAGTAATGGATTACTAATTCTTTTATGATTTGTTTGCCCAGTCTCGTATGATAGAAAAACAAAGTGTCACAGAAAAGACCTTGTAAAAACTAAGTTTAAAGACACTAATAATCAAACACAGCATGTACATTTCCTCTGTCTTTACACCTCAAAACATTTTCATATTTTTCGCAGTATTATAAATTCCCGTAACTGCTTCAATAGGGGAAAATGCTGAAATGGAAAAAAATTAACAGAGGAAGAGTAATAAAAGACTGTTGCATTAGACTCCTTGTTATACATATATCCTGATAGTCTGGACGACTGTAGTCGTTTTTTTCATCATATATCTTTTTTGTTGTGAAGAGAGTCAGAACGTACTATACAATATAACAAGAGGCCCATGGGCCTTAACGGTCACCTGAGTCCTACAGTATTTATTTCTGTTGTTGAAATATGTACCAATTTGAGTCCAAAATAGTTAAGTATAACGTTAACTTAAGTTTGTCAGGACCATGAGCTGATCATTCCTAGACCGAGTTTCATTTAATTTGGCTTATTAGAAACTTGTTTTTAAGTTTGAAATAGTTTTTTTCAAAATAGCGGCCGTGGCAGCCAATTTGGATTTCTGATAGACCCGTAAAATAACAACACTTTGTCAGGACCATAAGTCGAAGAATCCTACAAAGTTTCAGTTCAATCGTCCCAGTGGAACTTGACTTTAAGTTTGAAATATTTTTTCGAAATGGCGGCAATGGCGGCCATATTGGATTTCCGATCGATCCGAAAAATAACAATACTTTGTCAGGACCATGAGTCGATCATTCCTTTCAAGTTTCAGTTCAATCGGCCCAGTGGAACTTGACTTTAAGTTTGAAATATTTTTTCGAAATGGCGGCAATGGCGGCCATATTGGATTTCTGATTGACCCGAAAAATAACAACATTTGGTCAGGGAGATGTCAGTAACCTTCCCATGAAATATTAATGAAATCCCTTTGCCAGTATTTCAACTTAGGTTGAAAATGTAAAATGTTAACCGACGACGGACGACTGACGACGCACGACGACGGACGAAGACGGATAGCAATAGGTCACTTGAGCTAAAGCTCAGGTGACCTAAAAAGCTGTTATTTCTCCCGGACTCTGCACCGGTTCCGGTGCGTACTGCCTCCCGTTATTTCCTTTATTTAAGAGTGGGTGTGTATTCATTCTATATATCGTAGATGATTTGAATTCTATCTATGATTTATTTATTGCATGCAGTGTCGATCGCCGGCGACCAGGTATCTCATTTGATAGAGCGTCTAGCTAGAGTTCGGAGGTCCCAGATTCGAATCCCTGTCTAGCCCGTTGTATTTTTCCTTTTCTGTTATATGCACTTTACCGAATTTCCGATAACTGGTTGGTATACGGTCATACATACACTTTATGAAATAAGGGCTCTAGTAAAAGTGTGCGCGGTGGATTGTTTATTCGTTGTTTTAATATCTTGTTTATCACGAAAAATTTACGTAGCTCTAGTCCAGTTATATTTAAACGCACGTGACTCTTTCTAGACTGTTTTCATAACATGTAGAATGACGTAGAATTTGTACAACTCAACTTTCAATCGGAATGTGAAAAGAGGTGGTGATAGTAATTTCGTAAATAATATAGACTTCATATTGTGTTCCAAAGTAAGGTTTTGTTTTACGTCCTATAACAGCTATGGTCCAGAAAAAGCGTTAATACCTGATAGCCAAGAGTTTAGGAGTAACTATTTATGATAGTGGTTTTTTCTCACAATTTTGATGTTTGAAGTATTAATTGATCTTCTTCATTGTGCAAATTGTTGTTTGTAATTTACCGTCTTATCGAAACATCCACGAATGTCATACGTAATAAATGTATAAACGTCCGCAATTTCGCAATGATCGGGGAAAAGGTTGACGTTGCAAGCAAAGCTGATTTAAAACAACGAATTTTATCGGCTCCGACATTTCAAGTTTTCAGGAAGCGAACTGAACATGGATTCGGGATAAATATCACTGAAAAACATAACATGCATATTAAGACCAATTATAGATAGCCTGTATTAGAAATAACGCCGCTCATTGTTTGAGAGAGGAATTTATGGACGTTTTAAGTACCATTCTTTATCAGATATCGGAGATAACGCTCGTTTACACACTCGTCTGCTGCGATGCACTCTTATAACATCAAGTATAGCTGCACACGGTATTGTAGGTTTGCTTATTTTCCGTATTATCATTTCTCTATCAGATGGAAATATTTATCAATTATGGACGTTTAATGAGGTAAATATGTAGTATGTGAACCCGAGAAACAATATTAAACGAGACGACGTCAAGTTCATAAAACATATATAAATTATTTGGTATGAAATAATTGAGTTTTCGTCATTAAACAAAACAGAGCTTACGCAAATCGTCAAGAGTAAAGTACTGCATTTGGTAGAGAGCATTGTGATAGTATCAATTGAATATTGATCTCCGAGTCAATTTCATGAATTATAGACTTCCTCTTGATTTAGATACAATCAATGATGATGCAGAAAAAATCTTTTTTTTTTCTAATGTGGATTAGGCAGCGTCAGGACCTATAGGTTCGTCAATGAATCAGATTGTAACGAAGTATAGGACTCATCTTCAGCATTCCAGCTTATATATACTTCATGTTATGTATCTAAAATAATGCAGTCATATCAGACGGGAAGATCCGGGTGACATATTTCACTCTGTAACATTTCCATCGTGTTGTACGCATATAACAAGCCAGCAACAACATACTTAAAATCAAATATGTTATGCAAATTTAAAATTTATTGAATAAGTAATATCCAAAACATTAAGGTATACATTTGAAATGTTAACAATTCATGTTATTGATATCATTAATATTCCACACAAAAAATAATAAAACAACGTCGTCAAGTAATCTATCACAGATCATGAAATAAAATCTACATCAAATCATAGATACATATGATCTGGTCACATTATTGTGTCGTGTGACACATATATACAAGGTGTGTTTATGATTCAGGATATTACACAGATAATATAACACAACTCGTGTTCCACATATATATTTTCAACACATATCCCACTACTCGTGTATCTAGCGTACAGCCAGACTCCCACAAATGCTGCATTATCTTGTACACACCATATGTACAGCTGTATATATATATAATCGCGCATATATCCACGTTTATAACACAAGTGTTCATCTTACTTTCGTCCTTAAGCAGTGTTTGACTTTCGTCTTATCAGTATTAAATCAAGGATTCAATGAGTTTCGCTGAAGCGATTCATTTTTCATTCGAACACACGTACAAGTAAGTACGTACACATCATCAGTGACAGGAAGGCATCACGTCACGCGTCAGTCCTAGCATATTGTCCTAAGACTTGATTTTATCCATTAGAGATATCAGGGCGTTTACAAATATCGCTGTTTCATCTGTAGTTTTTTTTGTTTTCCTTCGTGAGCCGTGCCATTTCTTTCATGCCTTCGTAAATGCCTTCGCCAGTCATTGCGCATGCTCCCTGTACAAACCACTTCCGCCCAGTTAGTTTCGTCAGGCACATCTTTTCGGCTATATCCGATGTGTTCATGGCATCTAAAACGAAATAAACGATATATAAAATGTGCATTGATCTAAATGGCAACGATTTATTGAAAGTTCTTGTAGATATAATTATAAGGGACTGATTCCAAACCTCTCATGAGATATACATTAATCTGACAAAAATATTATTATGTTTATGTGTTTACCAAATTTAAACTTACATGGGAGATCTTGTTTGTTTGCAAGCACGACAACCGGGACACCTCTCATCTCATCATTGTCAAGTATACCGAACAGCTCCTCTCGGGCTTCATTGATTCTCTCCCTGTCATTGCTGTCTACGACAAACACCAGACCTGTGAAAGGAGATACGATGTTTAAAAATGATGACCATACACACAACATTTCATATGGGTTTTCTACGGCTGCTCCGGTTTCCTTCCATATTAAGACCCCCACCCCCCCTGCGCACTACCATTCGGGCAAGCAATAGTGATTAATATAAATTACAAAAATGGTTTCATAATTGTTGTTAAATACATAAAGTTAAATTGAGCTAAATGATTATTTGGAAATAAGGATAAAATATCTTGCGCCTTATAATTACTTGGCGCTTAACCGGAGTCCACTCACCTTCTGTGTTTTGGAAGTAATGTCTCCATAGTGCCCGGATCTTCTCCTGACCGCCGACATCCCACACGGTAAAGGATACCCCCTTACACGGGGACACCTCCTCCACGTTAAACCCAATCGTCGGGATGGTACACACGTTCTCGTTCAGTTTGATCTTATACAGCACAGTCGTTTTGCCTGAAATATAATATATTTGATATTTGAAACATTTATCAAGCCGTTGAAGGATAAACTTAGCAATAGTTGATATTCTTTGTCTAATATTTGCGTCGAAATGTTATATATTATGTCACGGAATATTTAATTTAAAATTACGATGACAGATAATTCGTTAATGTGCATAAAATATGAATGTAAATTTACCTGCCGCATCCAGTCCCAGCATCAGTATCCGGGACGGGGATCCACTGGAGAAACTCTGCATCACATCAGCAAGCTTTGCTAATAACAAACCCATGTTTTCCTGCTTATAATATTTTTCTATGTACCCGACAATATCTATAAGGTGCGTTGACTCCACAGACTGTGGTATTTGCGTGTGCTGTCGTTATAAATGCGTTAGGTTATATAGTGGTTTGGTTCCACGTATTGCACAAAGTCTGTACACGGGTATGTAACACTCGACCTGTCACTCTAGCCATATGTTCAATGCCAGCGTGGAGAAAATTGCGTCACGCTCAGCGACTCTTCGGAACACCAAATGTTAAACATGGGATAAAGCCCGATAAACATCGAAGGCGTCTATATTTAATCTTATTCTGGGGATACCCTGTTTGTTTACCTTGACTACGGTTCAGTGCCTATCAGTATGCTATACGAAAGTATATTAACAAAACTACCGAATCGTTATCTACATGTGAGGGGTTGTTTTATTATTGTGACATCAGTTTCCCTCACAAAACAGAACAAACATATAGTTTTACCTGGCAGCTGACTACGTACCTACCTACACCGGTTTGAGGCGTATAGATTAGTACTACCACGGACTTAGATAATTCCGTGGTACTACAAACAAACAGAACTGTTCATCAATGTTACATCTTATAATGCTATTATCTATTTAGCTAACCCTTAGTTCAGAATAATGATTTAATATATTCTTAGTGATAGTTTACACCAAATACTTTAGTTAAAACAAAGAAGATACAAAATATGTATTAAATGCATAATTTACACAGCATTAAAACTCCGTGAAATGGATTTCAATAACTACCGGTACTTGAAACGAATGTCTGTGGGTTTTTTTTATTTGTAGATTANGAAAATACATGATTTTTAAAGAAAATTCTCAGGGTGGGGGTGGGGGTGGGGGTGTTTCCTGAAGCCCCCCAAAAACCCTCTGGATCCGCCACTGTGGCCCTCTCTATATTGGATTATAAGACCAGTGTTTGACGACGGACTATGTAACCTAAACATGACAAAATGGCCACATTTCTACAGATTTAAATCTAAATCCACACGTCCAGTGACTTTATTTCATGATTCTTCTATAATGGTGTCATTCCCGAGGGAACTGTCCTCTGACACATTGAGAGCTATTTACTTTTAATGAGTTTACGAAGGAATGCCGGAGTCAAAATATGTGGAGGTGACAAAATCTCAAAAAACACCAAAGCGTTTGTACACATGCAGTACAAAATCTGAATTAACGTTTTTGAAGAAAAGGCCATCTTAAAATGTTAATAAAATATCAGTCTGTAATACATATAACGTGTGAGTTTGTGATCCGTACGCACGATATAAGAACCTCTTTAAGCTAGTCATTTTACGCCGAAATAAGAAAGACAAGTCACACAGAAAAAAGGTGTGCGCACNAACTATGGATATAGATTTGCGATTTCACGTGATGAATTCACATGTTACATAAGGTACAGTAAACGTTTAACGATGCGTTAAACGTTTACTGTACCTTATGTAACATGTGAATTCATCACGTGAAATCGCAAATCTATATCCATAGTTACTTACCACATAGTAATAAAGTCGTTAATGGAAATTGAAATTCCAAAGTTTGGGACCAGGTTGAGTTGACAATATTAATATTTTTTCAAAGCAGCAGGTATCAGAAACAAGGTTATATACATGTAGTATACATTAGTTACTAAGTATTGACAGCAGGAATCACTGGCACAATAATGAAGTTTATAGCAGCGGGTTTATCGATGGCTTGCTATTATATTGCAGCAGAAATGACTGGATAAGTAATATTGTTTATTGTAGCAGGTATATTAATGTTTAAATAATCTATTGCTGCAGAAATAATTGGCTAAATAATACGGTTTACTGCAACAGGAATCAGTGGCTAAGTAATGTAGTTTATTGTATACACAGCAGGCATGTCAATGGTTGAGTAATCTATTTCTGCAGAAATCACTGGCTTAATACATCAATAGCTAGCAGGTGTGTGGCTACAAAATCACTACAGTATAACTATATAATGTAGTTTATTAGTCGACAGGGAAAAAAATACAAAATAAATGAGTCTAAATGCATTCTCTGGCCTTCCAAAAGATATACCACGGCAATATGATGGTCGAGTTCTGCTTGCAATGTCCAGTTAAACTGTTTTGACCACTGAAATCTCGGGGAAAACCCCCATAAATTTAGCGCAGATCTATTTATATATGTCACGTGATTGTTTCAAAAGTGAGACAGTGAAGATAACAACAATAGCACGACGTCTTGTTGTGCAATGTCGGACTCAACTAGCGGACAAGACAGCAACACTATACGTAAATGATCGTTTTCAAAGGTTATGTATGATGCAAGTGTAGTATTCCTGTTATATATAACGGTATTGATACCTCGTGCCTGTCATGACTTTTGCATGCATCTTTTTCTTTCGCCGCGATGTTTACATTTGGCCTTGTTGGTGACACGCGTTCGATAAAATAACATCACTGATCTGGGTTAATGGAGAGTTTTAGACTGTCAGGTGACGATTTAGGATTTCTTTAATATAATTACATTTTGTACTCTTATGGAATTTCAGCAAAATTTGAATCGTTATATTTCATAAGAAGGTATTTTAAACATGTGTATGCCATTTTAGCAAATATGACATTTTTTCGCCGACCAGCCCCTTTAACAATGATATACAGTGTAGCCAAACAAAATTTCAACCCCATGATGCGTTTTATTTAAAGACCACAATTAAACATCAGAATTCAGAAATATTATTGAACATGTACTTCAAAAATAACTGATCAGGGGGTTGGAACTTTGGGTGTCCATACCATAAATTCGGTGGTTTGTTGAACTGTAACGGTCCTGATACCGTCGGGTTTGTCTTGGATTTTTGTACTGTTACCGGGATATTTTCGCCCAGTAAAACTTTCGCCCTGCGCCAATGGAATTAATATTCGCCCAGTGTAATTTCGCCCTTTAAATTTAATCATTATGTTTATTATATTTACTTATGTTCACTGTAATGATAATTACGCCCTCATTACGGAGGGTGAAAACGGTGAAAATTAAAGTGCAGCCAACATTTCCCGATATACAGTAAATAGGTGACCATTATTTTACTGCTGTAGATAAATGTCACGGTGTGAAGCTGAAGAAGAAATGACATAACGAAATCCGACTACCGGATGATAAACGGGGTTTATAAAAACACGTGCGAGGGGAGATAACTCAAACTAGAATCTAATCTACAACGACAGTACATTCAACGAAACATTGGAGGGGCCGCTAGGGTGTTAAATACAAAGATGGCTGTGTGTTGTCCGAAATATTGCCGAAAGGGTGTCTGTTGGGGGCTATTTTGGTAGCTGTCAAGTACAACTCAAACTCACAAAGTGACTTATAATTTTGCAAAATAATAAAAGATTGTCAGGGTGACAAAAATTCGTTATCTTTGGGTTAGGAGGGGTTTACTGGCTCATATACACCTTTGGTCTTTATAGACCCCTCGCCGTATAAAGACTAGACGGGGTCTATGATCCCATAGACCCCTCCTAACCCAGAGATAACTAATTATATCTATGTATCTGTGAGTAAGTCCTTACGACACACTTCCGATATATCAAATTATATATACTAGACGTGTCGTACTTTGTTGCATATTACCTATCAGGCTATTGTGTAGGTCAGTACTTAGCTGATTATTACTTATTTGCGAAAGATATTTCGTTTAAATAATGTGCAAGTCATTTTTAGATACATTTGATTTATCTTTGATTATGTCACTTATTGCCTAATCCCCTTGTATAAATCAAAATTGCCTGTATATAAATACGTTTTCTATCTAACTACATATGGCATTACATTGATTGCTAGGCAACAACCTGGCCGCACTTTAATCTTCATGCCGGTTTTTTATGTATGTCTCCTGGGGGTCTGTGCTGTGTCCGTATATTTATTATATGTGCTGTTGTTTCTTATTGTCCTGTAATATAGTAATATATTGAAACGGAACCTTGACAAAGAAAACAAAGAGTGTGTGTTATCGGTAAGGGAGCTCTAACCTATCTTCATGCTTCCTGAGCATAGACATCTGAACATTTCTGTATTGTTACATGTGTTTATCACCAGTACTAATACATGTATGCTATTTAACTATATGTAATTTGTTTTTGTTTTTCAATTATTCATCTGGTCGGCTGCTTGAACACCAAAAGTCAGGGATGACCTATCCCTTTCAAATTTTGCATGGTTTACCTGATACAACAAAAAATATGTTTGAAAAGCAAATGCTGACGATGGGATTTTGATAACTTTTCGGTTCGTTAACCTGTTTTTACAGATTTAAAGTAACAGAAGCAATGATGCTTTTCTTGGAACCCATTTTTCTGTTCCTCCGTGCTTTTGAAATGACAAATTAATTAACATCATTTATGTAATCAACATTTTTTATTTTCAACAATAATGTAACAAAAGTACAAAAAAGACACATTTATATCAAATAGAAAGCAAATGTATTACATGTTTTGCAGTACGACAACTGCAGTAATATTGTCCATCTCACGGTATCTACACATCTTTAGATTTCATTGATTGCCATAACTTAACTATTTACACATATTTATATATTTACAAGGGATAGCAGTTGTTGATATTGCACATAGATATCCGATACACAGGTTAACATCCGCATCCACGCCATTCACTATTCTCCTGGATTCCATATATAGATTAGGACAGCTTCTGTTCGAACTTCTTGCATGTAAATCAGGATTTGATAGAATCAAGCACAGTCTGTGGTTTAAATGTAATAACGAACAGTTTCTTAATTGAAGTGAAGACTATCATCTGTAGGTCCTCTTGTTTTCTTTTGTAAGTCGAGCCATTTCTTTCATGCCTTCATATATTCCATCTCCATTCATCGCGCAAGCTCCTTGAACAAACCATTTCCTTCCGGTTAGTTTCATTAGACACATCCTGTCTGCTACCTCCGCTGTGTTCATGGCATCTAAAATATCATAAAATGTACACCTAATTATTTCTAATAAAAAACAGCAACCAGTGTTAATGATTTTTTTTTTTATTACGTTTGATATCGGGATTTTTCATAAGTAAACGTTTGATTTTTCACTCCTGCGAGAAAATCAAAATTAATATCATTTTTTTAAATGACTTTGATGTTTCAGACCATTGAAAATACAGTCCAAAATTAAGAAAAATCGACCAATGAAAATTCTTGATTTTTTTCTGTTCCACATAGACCTTGATTGTGACGTCAGATAAATTCGACGTCAAAAATTGATGTTCCACGGTACACCTCAATATTACAGGGTCATTTTCTTCACACAGTCAAACCTTTATTCAGGGACCAGGTTTGAAAGGTGGTCTTTTAGTACAAGTCCCATTAACATGGGAAAGTACTTGTAACACAAGAATAAAAGTCACACTCGTGAAACATAAGACGCTACACAATTAAACATCTTCTATTTCTTTCTCTAACCTACTAAACATATCCCTCTATACAAAACCAACGTTGCAAGGAATAAACTTACGTGGAAGATCTTGTTTGTTTGCCAGTACAACAACCGGAACACCTCTCATTTCATCATTTTCCAGTATCCCGAAAAGTTCCTCTCGGGCCTCACTGATCCTCTCTCTGTCATTGCTGTCTACGACGTAAACCAAACCTGCGAATGAGGGAACAAAAAGCGGGTTTATTGCTTACTTTGAAAACTTCAGTATGTCGACGGAAAACGCCAAACAAAGTAAACAATGATTGTTTTGTGAATTTGAGGCTGATCATTTATTGATATGTATGTGTATGTCTTTATACGGTATGGAAGAAGGGAGTGATGAAGGGGAAGCTACCAAACTGCCAACGGAACAGCGACAATATCGGATAAATTCAGATAAACGTACTCATATCACCATTGGGATTGTTTTGATAAATGGATAATAGTTGCGCTTTACTTCGTAGTGGTACTTTATTCAGACATACACCACCCCACCATAAACATGGACACCTTTACTTCGTAGTGGGACTTTATTCAGGCATACACCACCCACCAAAAACATGGACACCTTTACTTCGTAGTCGTACTTTATTCAGACATACGCCACCCCACCATAAACATGGACTCCTTTACTTCGTAGTGGTATTTCATTTGGGATTGCTCCCCCCACCATAAACATGGACACCTTTACTTCGCAGTGGTACTTTATTCAGGCATACACCACCCACCAAAAACATGGACACCTTTACTTCGAAGTGGAACTTTATTCAGGCATACACCATCCACCATAAACATGGACACCTTTACTTCGTCGTGGTACTTTATTCAGGCATACACCACCCACCAAAAACATGGACACCTTTACTTCGAAGTGGAACTTTATTCAGGCATACACCACCCACCAAAAACATGGACACCTTTACTTCGTAGTGGTACTTTATTCAGGCATACACCATCCACCATAAACATGGACACCTTTACTTGCTTATGATTAATGTAAAAAATGAATAAATATAAAGTGTAAAATAAATATGCATCAGATTTTAAAAAAAAAATGTGTTTTTCTCCGCCAAAATGGAACACGTGTCCGTATGCTAATATTACTTGTCAAATCTTGTCCGAGTCAGGTACTTGACTTTAGAGAAGCAGTAAGTGCTAATCAACGTACCTTCAGTGTCTTGGAAGTAATGTCTCCAGAGTGGTCGGATCTTGTCCTGGCCGCCGACATCCCACACGGTAAAGGACACACCCTTACAAGGGGACACCTCCTCCACGTTAAACCCGATCGTCGGAATGGTAGAGACGTTCTCGTTCAGTTTGATCTTGTACAGGACCGTCGTTTTACCTGTAATGTATTATATAGGACATTTAAAAAATCCATGAATCCGTTAATACAAGCATAATATTAGATGTGAATCTTGATATTATGATTACCTTTAAATTGGTAAGGATTCTGTGTGTAATGGTTGTGCAGAAAATAACAAGTTGTGTCTCAGAATTGCTAATTAGAAAAAAAAACTATGATAACCAACTACAGCTCTTATTTTTCCATAGTTCGTAACTTGATATGCAATAGTTCTCTTATCATTAGCACTGTAATTTTACCTGCCGCATCCAGTCCCAGCATCAGTATCCGGGTCGTTGATCCACTGGAGAAACTCTGCATCACATCAGCAAGCTTTGCGAATAATAAACCCATATTGTACGTGCTGCTTATAGTTTATCCCTTTTACCTGACAATATCTATATGGTGTGCTTATCTCACAGACTGTTATATTTGTGTGCTGTCGTTATAAATGCGTTAGGTTATATAGTGGTTTGGTTCCACGTATTGCACAAAGTCTGTACATGGGTATGTAACCCTCGATCTGTCACTCCAGCCATATGTTCAATGCCAGCGTGGAGAAAATTGCGTCACGCTCAGCGACTATTCGGAATTCCCAATGTTAAACATGCGGTAAAGTCCGATACACTTCGAATGCGTCTATATTTAATCCTGATCTGGGGATTCCCTCTTTGTTTACCCTGACTACGACCCAGTGCCTATCAGTAATGACCATTGGTATGCTCGTTATCTACTATCACAGTATGCTATATGTAGTAACGAATCTATCGTTTCTCACACATCAAATCGTACTCTGCAGCTAAGGCATGTCCTTGTTATTGTTTCACTACAATACGGTGTTTACCCTTATTTTAAACCTTCTACCTATCGTGTTATAGAACATGCGCAGTTTGATGTGTGTAAACTACGGGCGATAGATTAAAACTACAATTAACATGTCATTACTAACGTGTGTTACTCTATTTAGTAATACGGACATTTCATCAATGATATATGTTATACTTCTATAATCTGTCTAGCTAATCCTTAGCTCAGAATAACGATCTGATTACTTCTTGATGTCTTTTTCCAAAGAAGCATTGAAATGATGCTAAAGTGGGTAAATTAGATTGGGTGTAATACAATGTTTGATGCATTCGCATAGTACAATGAAACTTTCGTATAGATTGCTCTATATATTTTCAGTACTGTCCGTACCTTCACACTTAGATACATATTACTGATATTTCTTTAAAGTGAACATTTGTAAATTATTTTTCATTCAACCGAATCATACTACATATTGATATATCTTTACATAAGATTGTTCAGATCGGTGAAGGACGGCGTCTATTTTGTAATAAAAAACAATGGACAAATAAGCCGCATAAATTCCGACATAGAATCTACGAAGTTGAGAATTCTTTAGAGGTTTGATGACGCGAAATTGTTTAAGCTGAACTAGAAAAATAAATGATACATATACCATCTTTAGTTTTTTATAACTGTATCCTCTATCCATAGAACTTTCTATGATACATTCTGTCTATATCGCGGTCTATACTATTCCCCTATTCTATGCTCTGGTAGTGATGTCCAGGGCCCGTGTTCATGAAACTGTTCTCATGCTCAAGAATTGATTCTGTGCTCAAACCAGCTTTCTTGTTACTCACTTAAATCATGTAAAACTATCAAAAAGTCAAATGTAAACATTGAAAATAGTATTCGGCTTTTAGTCTCTGCAAACTGTTTTCAAATCATTGAAAAAATAAGATTGTTTTATTAATTTATAGATGAAACACGAAATTAGGCTCGAGCACAAAAACCATGCTTGAGCATGGTTTTCGCTTTCATGAATACGGGCCCTGGAGAATAATGACCGAATCGTCAGATGAGTTCAGTATTCCACTACAGACATCATATTAGTGAACTCTTCCTTTCGGGAATAGCAGTAATAGATTTAGTACATTACATATCATCGGATTCGATCTTAACAATTACAAATCAATATCAAAACCCGACACTAGTGTATTGAACATTCAAAACAAGCGTAAGAGTTATAAATAACCAATGATGTAAATGTATTTTACTTTCTATAATGAAACACTGTACATTGTCCATGATACGTTCCACAATAAAACATTTTATCCATATTACTCACCACAATCCACAGTGAGTAATTTATTGTAAGTTAATTATTTAATTCATCCAGCGAAAGAATGTATGAGTCCGAATACAGGGATACAATCATGTGTCTATTGTTACAGGGATACAATCATGTGTCTATTGTGTTTTTTGATGTAACAGAAAATAGCCTTTTTTTAAGAATAAAATTGAAGAAAAAACCCCACTACTTCAACATTAATACAGATTCGATAAAAAGCTCAGACCTAAAGTCTATGAGGAAAGTACGTTGGCCTATTGAAGCAAACTGAAAAAAATAAACCCAACCCTATCCCTATGTAGTTCATTGAATAAGTTATCATTACATTCCATGTAATTACTTCTTTAAATTTACAAAAGTAATGTAGCCACTACAGAAAAGGCATGGTGAATTCCTACGACGAACTAGAAAAGAAACCTTGGCCCGTATTCATAAAACCGTTCTCGTGCTCAAGCATGGATTTTGCGCTTAAGCTTAATTTCTTGTCCTGGTTATAAATGAATAAAAACAATATACTTCGTCAATGATTTGGAAAACTTTTGAAGAGCCTTAAAGCTGAATACTGATTTCAGTATTTAAATTTGTACTTTTGGTCGTTTGACATGATTTCAGCAAGCTACAAGAAAGCTGAAAAGAGCACAGAGTCTATGACTGAGCACGAGAACGGCTTCATGAATACGGGCCATGTGTCTTTCTCAACTCCCCGATTAGCATACGGCCAGTGCTGCCATTCCGGCGCTCACAGCTAGCATTCAGCAACTCTAGCACTGGTGAACCACGTACTCATTTACAGCTGAGTAGACTGGAACATGCGGAGTAAAGTTTCTTGCTCAAAGACAGCACAGGTCATTGACGTGACTTGAACCCAATTCAATTCACAATTCAAATCAATTTATTTCCGTAAGTTTTACAACTTATAGGATTTGTATAACAACAAATAATTTCATATAAGTACAACAACAAATAATAACATATTACTGGCACATTCATCACAAATCATCAGCAACAACAACATCATCGAAATCATAATTCATCACTTTCACCATTATCATCATTATCATCGTCGTCGCCGTCGTCGTCGTCGTCTTATAAATCATCATCATGAAATAATCATCATTGCCTTGTAAATCTTCTTCATCATCAAATACAACAACATTGAGTATTTACCATCTTAAACATGAAAGATTGTACGAACAAAACATGGACATGATACGATTGAGTAATACAAAATAAGGTAAAACAAAATTATAAGTTAAACAATCCTTCGTTTGTTAAGCTTCAATAATAAATTTACCTAACAAATTCAGTTCTTTTACGTTGTATGTATTTACTTATTCGATAAGATGGTTTTCGACAGTAATAATTTTTGATATATTTTCTCCTTAGATCTAGATGACGTGGGCAGGTAAATAGAAAATGAAATTCATCTTCTATCTCTTTTAGGTCACAGTCACTGCAACATCTATTATTCCTTGCAATATTCCTGTACCTTCCCGTTTCTATTGCAAGATTGTGAGCTGACATACGTAATTTGGTAATCATAATTCGACGTTGTTTTGGTATAAACTTTGTTAAATAATATTGCAACATCACGGTATCTACCATATATCTATAGAGATCACATTTACTTGAGATGGCCAACGAGTTGAATAAAGTTAGTTTTGCCTGACTATCTATGCGCTGTTTCATAATAGGTAGTAGACATAGGTCGGTAGCTGCCTGCCTTAACCATATATATCCAAACCCTAGTTCAAATAATTTATGCTTTATGAATAATAACCAATTTCGTTTCGGGTTTTCCCTCCAAGTTTCTTTCAATAAAAACTGATATGCTTAACAACTTAAACCAATATTTAAACATTCTAAGTAACTGATTGTTTGCCAGAGGAAGTCGTCCAAGCTCAAAATATACCATAGCATTTGCACGTAGATGTTTTAGCACGGAGTATGTTTTTACAAAATTCCATATGAACCCTTTCTATTTCAACTTCTTTATAACTACCCCATATTTCACAGCCATAATAAATTACACTACTCACATATGTGTCAAAGAGGTGTAGCATAGTTTTGATGTTTAAACGAATGTGTTTACATATAGATCGCAAGGCAAAAAGCGCTTTACGACCTTGCTCTGCTACATGTTTAACCTAAAACTGAATTTGTTCTTAAATCTAAACAGAACCCCCAGATAACAGAATTGATCCACAATTGAAATTGTGTTGCCGTTATATACCAAGCTTTCTGATTCTCTAATACTTCCTCTATTTCTGAAAACCATAATTTTGGTTTTGTCGGTATTAACTGTTAATTTCCACTTATTCGAATACTCACTTAGATTGTTCAAGAGGCTTTATAAACCTTCGATTGACTCAGAAAATAAAACTAAATCATCTGTATATAGAAGAAAAAATAAACTCAATTCCCCAAAATCAAAATGGAATGCTCCATTTTCTATAAAACTTTTTTCAGAATCATTTATAAACAAAGAAAAAAGTAACGGGGACAAAATTTCCCCTTGCATCAATCCAACATTATTAGAAAAAAAGTCCAACATTTGCCATTAACGAAAACACAAGATTTAACTAATGAGTATAAAGACTTAATTGTAGACAAACATTTACCTCGAACATCCAGCTTTGTTTACTTGCACCACAGGCGTACTCTATCTACGAAATCAAAAGCCTTGCGGTAATCTATGAAACAACAATATAACCTCTTTGTTTTAGATAACGTTTTCGAAATTATAGTTGCAAAGCGAAAATAGCATCCACAGTGCTTACCCCTGGACGGAATCCAAATTGTGCGTCCGTTACAGTATCATATTTAGTACAAACGTCAATCAAACGTTTATCATACAACTAATTAGACTGATACCTCGAAAATTATTAGGATCTGTTAAAGCGCCCTTTTTATGCACAGGTACAATGATTGCTTCGGACCAGTCAACTGGAAAATATCCAGATTGTAAAATATTGTTAAATAATACATGAGCCGGCCGTTCTACCACTAGTTCATAGGAAACTTCTCACAAAGTAAAACAAAGGTGATACAAAGGGTACCTCACACCAGGATAAGTGAGGATACACTTGCCCAGGGTAATGAAAACTGGATTATAACAGTTGGATATCAGGTATATATTTCACCGTTAAATTCTTAATCGTAGATTGTAGGGATCAGTGGCTAGGTGATGTAGTTTGTTGACTAGGTAGTGTAGTTTATCAGTATCAGTGGCTAAGACATTTATTTTATTGCAGCAGGTACATTATATCAATGGTTAGGTTATGCAGTTTATCGCAGTAAGTGTCAGTGCCTAGGTTATGTAGTTTATCGCAGTAAGTCACTGATACCTACAATATACTCTATAACCTATCCAGTGATATTTATTGCAGTACGTATCAGTGACTAGGTAAAGAAGTATATTGCAGTATATGTCAGTGGCTGGGTTATTAAGTCTGTTGCAGTAAGAATATGTGGTAAAGAAAGCCAATATATTGCAGCAGGAAACAATGGCTAGGTTATGTAGTTTATTGTAGTAAGTATCAACGGCTAGATACAACTGTAATGTAGTTTATGTAGCAGGTATGATCAGTTACTAATATTAGTATATTGCAGCAGTGCACTATATTATTAAAGCAGGTATCACTGGCCAGATAATGTACATTGTATTTATTGTAGCAGGTATCACTGGCCAGATAATGTACATTGTATTTATTGTAGCAGCTATCAGTGGCTGGATAATGTGGTGACTGTCTTTTCCGCATGTAAATTTATTTAGTTATTAGACCATGTTGTAATCCATGTTGTATTTTTCAATGATTTGATGGCATAATATCTAGCTAGCATGTTACGGCAAAATCAATGTTAAATTAGATTTCTATTGAATTAAATTTTTAACTGTCAGTAAGTTTTCCATGTTCTATGGAAATTGAAAATTCGAAAAATGAAATAAAAGAAAAAAATTAGTAAATATGTTTTTTTTTTTTTATTAAAATAACAAATATAACAAAAAATAAAGTATTTTTTTGCAATGCACATTAATTTGCTTAAACAAAAATATTAGAAAAACAATTGTTGTAAAACAGTTATAGTCGTATAATTTATACAATATTTAATACTAAACCACATTTATATAGCGTCCTATATGATTTATAAAATTAATCTAAAAGCGCTTTACAACACATGCATAATATATTAGTTATAATAGATGAAAAAGGCATACAAATAATCATTATACATCAAGTAAGAAGACAATTATCTCAATATGCATATACATGAATATATAAAGGGTAGTATGTACATGACATCTATATGCAAAGAGCCTAAAATGCAGACGTGAAGAGGTGGGTCTTTATATCCCTCTTGTAATTAGCCAGGGTTTTTGACATCCTGATAGCAGATGGTAACAGGTAACTAGCTAATTTTGTACTTCAACCAGTATCGTTCAAGTAATCAGTGCAATGAATATAGCACAGGTGTGATGTTCTCTCCCTTTAGAGTGCCAGTAATACATGATCAGCACGGATATTTTGATAATTGTCGTTACAAAATTAATTTACCATTCTAAGATTCTAAGATTAATCTTGATTGCTGGTTCTTCACATGTAAAACACTACACGTAGTAAAGTGCGGTTTTCGTTTTCTCTCATGTCCGTGTGTGTAAGATAGAGCTGTCCAGGGTACGAAAGAGGTGCAAGAAAATTCTTTCTCTTACCCTGGACAGGTGTGTCCACACTTTTACCGGTGTGAGATGCTGCAATGCGGAAAAGGCGACGTGATGAAATTAAAACCTTTTACGATATATTTACCGTAAACGTTAGAAAGAGGAGATTAATTTCTGAGCAAACTATGTTTGCAAATGTTTGGAATGCTAAAGAATTTCAAAATTGTAGCGTGTCCAAACCAGTCCAAACCAGTCCAAACGCATTTTCATTGTTTCTGAGCCTATCCTGGTAGTTGGAATGAGAGAAAATTACTCTTTCATGTCCAAGGGTGTAGGATAGGTAATACCACCCTCGGGATTGTCACCAATTTAGCAAATCCCCCGGCAAAGCCTCGGGTTTTACCAAATTTGAAATCCCCTGGGGTGGAATTTCTCTATCCTAAACCATGGGCATGACAGAGTCTTATAATACACACCGTACACTTATCTCCGAGTTATTAAAACTCGATCTGTGACCAATGCCATCTTCCATCCCGAGTTCCCTACGACCTCGACGGTTTGGTAACTTAGTAGTGTAGTTTATGACTGCGACGTCACAGCCACACATATGACAGCGAATTCGAAGCAAGGCAGGTTGATGCTGTCTGTGGATTTAATGCCATGGTGGGCAATATCTTAACGTTTTAAGTAGAGATATCTCATCTGTAGTTCTTTTTGTTTTCTTTTGTAAGTCGTGCCATTTCTTTCATGCCTTCAAATAGGCCAGCCCCGTTCGTCGCGCATGCCCCTTGTACAAACCACTTGCGGTCGGTTAGTTTCGTCAGACCCATCCTGTCAGCTACTTCTGATGTGTTCATGGCGTCTATAAAAAAAATAACAGATACATATCAATCAGTTATATATATGCAGAACATTCAATCAGCGTAAATGGGAGTAACATCATCTTATTTTCAAAAGTTTTAAATGTGAGTTTACTTACATGGAAGGTCTTGTTTATTTGCAAGCACAACAACCGGGACACCTCTCATTTCATCATCGTCTAGTATATTAGATAGTTCATCTCGGGCCTCATTGATCCTTTCCCTGTCATTGCTGTCTACGACGTAAATCAGACCTGTAAAAGGAAATATGACATACAGATAGGAAGAGATCAACGATAATGTTTACATGAGAATGACATAATGACTATTTGTTTTAGAATTATTTAGTTTTGCATTAGTTCATGTACGATACAGGAAAAGAGGAATTTGAAAACATATCTGACTAATATACTTCCATCGTTTTGGCATCCGATACATTTTTAAAACCCTGAACACTGTCTGCTCACATTAGTTATCGTATTTACACAGGTATATGGTAGAACAAAAACAAAAGTTATAACAGAAACAGTTCATTGACAGGACTTTGTAGTAGGATGATATTACAAACTGTGAGATCTGCAACAAAATTAGATGGTATAAAGAAAAGAGAGCTTGTCTATATCTATCGTTTTTCGACAGAGGTGACTCACCTTCTGTGTTCTGGAAATAAACTTTCCATAGAGGTCGGAGCTTGTCCTGACCGCCGACATCCCACACGGTAAAGGATACCCCCTTACACGGGGACACTTCCTCTACGTTAAACCCGATCGTCGGAATGGTAGAGACTTTCTCGTTCAGTTTGACCTTATACAGGACCGTCGTTTTACCTGTAATGTATTAGAAAATTTTAATAATGATAATTAAGAAAACAATAACATGTCATATGACTTGACATAAGTAATTAGACATGTATGTTTTATGCTAAAGTTATGACGATAAAGAATAGACTGTATCCGAACTCATAATTACTAATTATAAATAACATATAATAATGTCATATAGTTTGATAGATCTCTAATGAAAACAACATGTAATACACTTATCTGTCCAAAATAAAATTACCTGCAGCATCCAGGCCCAGCATCAATATTCGGGACGGGGGTCCACCGGAAAAGCTCTGCATCACATCAGCAAGCTTAGCCAATAATGAACCCATGTTGTTCTGCTTAAAAATGTATCTTTTTTACCTGACAATATCTATATGCTGTGCTTATCTCACAGACTGTTATATTTGTGTGTACTGTCGTTATAAATGCGTTAGGTTATATAGTGGTTTGGTTCCACGTATTGCACAAAGTCTGTACACGGGTATATAACCCTCGATCTGTCACTCCAGCCATATGGTCAATACCAGCGTGGAGAAAAACGCGTCACGCACAATGTCCATTCGGAACACACGCTTTAAATCAACTGTGTCTATTTTTAACCCTGTTCCGGGATTTCCCTGTTTGTTTACCTTGTCTACGTTCTAACATTCATTAGTAAGTATATGGACATAGCTATCGGCTACCACTATCGAATCGTAGTTTACATGTGAGCAATATGTATGTCAAGTGTTTCCTTATTATTGTGATGTCATTTTCCCAACGAAGGCAGAACAAGTAAACATTTTAACTGAATATCGACCATGATATAGAAGTAGTGATATACTGTGTACCTAGTTCGACATGTAAAGACAGGAAGGACGGCCTATCTTCTTCCAATAAACACTTCTTCACAAAAGCATTATACGCTTTTTTTATATTCAGCACAGATTATCCTAAGCTCAGAATTACAATTGAATTTTATTTTTCATATCTTGAATTTATTTCAATATGGAATATTTTCCACAAATTACAGTGTAGTTTTGAATTTTGATTAAGTGATTTAAACAAATTACCTGTTGCATACACATAATATGAAAATGTCTATGCAATGGATTATCAGAGAACGTCTAATAATTGTAGACCCGGACAACAATTCAGAAATTTCCCTTAATTGAACATTTGTACATTTATTTTTATTTTGCTGTAAATATAATACCAAACCTCAGGCAGGTGAAGCCACATGAACGTGAGATTGATATGATTGGTGTTTGTAATGTAAGCACTAGACTTAACTCACATAATATCTTCACAGTTAACAAATTATCTCAATTAGCGCACATATAAAGGCCCCTATTCTCGATGGAATCACAAGCAATACATTTTATCCATACTTCCTTTAAAACAATACAAACTTTTAATAATGTTTAAAAATACATTATATCCATAGTAATTTGTATAATCCACTGTATCCGTTATATTTCCTATATTTTACCAAGACATGCCCAAAGAAATATCTTTTTCCGAAATGTGATCTAGTCTTTTATGATTGTTTTACTTTATCAATGACATATCTATGTTAATATTGACAAGCTCTTTAGTATTTTATATGATAATTTATAGATAGTACGCTATATGATTAATTCAAGTTAATAACATCAATAAACGTATCTTTACAGATATTTTCTGTTCGCTTTTCATTCTATGACAGTTGCAAATTCGATACGTTAAAAAAAGGGTTTTACAGCCTCATTCACCTAGGGGTTTTCCAACAGAAAGCTATATATCAAGGAATTAGATACTTCTATATTTCATTTAAAGATATCTCTCAATTATATTGATCAAAACTATGAAATAAATATATTTAATCCATTCAAAATTATCGCTATTTGAAAAAAAGATATCTCAATTTCAATTAGGGAGATCCATTTCGAGATATCCTTATAAAAAATCAACATTCTAAGATGTGTCTTATACATTTGTGACCCCCTCCCCTTTTTATGGTATTGAATGCAGTAGTAGTGTAAACATATTACAATTTTTTTTTTTTCAAATGTTTAAGCTGATGATTGAGTCAAAAAGATTACCAGCTTCAATTCCGAAAGGACGCTGCAGCTGAAAGCGAGTTTATCGCAATCAATTTCTGTATATATTCATATACCCAAGCAATATATCTATAATACTGGTTTGTTACCGTTCACCCTGCACATGTTATGTAAAAGGCAACGTTGAACAAGTCTTAAGGATGTGCAAACAGTCATTGAGAAGAAGGCAAATTTACGTAATATTTGTGGAATCTAATGGGCGTTAAATCCATCCGATAATTATAAAATATAAAACATTAACCGTCAGATATTTTATTGACCTTGAATCAAATTACATAAAGTTGAGTAAAGGCTGGCCAACACGAACATGTCACTTGTTGGTGTTGATCCAGTCGGCGTAGGATCGGACCTCTGTATATACAGATGGATATCCTGGTGGACAGCCGACAGCACCCCATGACGTCACTCCGACCAGTTCCCACTGGTCGCTTTCGTTATTTTTACCCACCAAAGGTCCCCCGCTGTTTCCCTGCAACACCAGTAACACATTTCATAACATGCAACAATGTTACCCGATGTGTCCCTGCAACAGCACTAAGACAATGAATAGGTTATTTTATAACATGTTCCACACATTACAATGGTCCCACACTGTGTCCCTGTAACAGCAGTTTTACTATCAGTTTGTTCTTTCGAAGATAGTAACAGTATGTTGTGGATTGCATGGAGCTGATTGCCGATTAGAGTTGACAGTGATCAAAACACAGCCAATGTAACGTTGAAAATGGACTCCGTTGAAAATGGAACCGGGGTCAGTTTGCAACGTTGAAAACTGACCCCGGTTCCATTTCCAACTGGGGTCTATTTTCAACGTTACACCGGACCTTCCATGTGGTAATTTTTTACTCCTACGCTTTGTGTTGAAATTGCTCTGTTTACACTGTGTCTGTATGTGAGAACATGTACGTATATGGCCAATGTGTGTACATGTACACAAGAGTCGATTAAGGGTCGTTTAAAAGCACTTTACATTTGGTAATATGTATGCTCTTTATTGTTAACAGTAAAATCTATCTGAATTATGAATCATACTTAAAATTAGGAAATATATAAGTTTTCGCGCAATTGCATTTATTCACATGCCATTCCTAAATACACTGTATATATCAACTACAATGTAAAATACTTATCGAGCAACCATGCACACATCATGTGCACAACGCAAATCGTGGGATATTGTTTCATATTTCCTTATTATCTTTTTACATGTGTTTTGTCATTATATTACCCGTAAATATTAAACGTTACAGGTACCGCCTGTTTTGTTTTAGCTTAGTTAAAATATCCTTTTTAATTAATACTTACGATAATAAAACAAAACAAAATCCCTACATATTACATGTATCTAAATACACATCAACCAATGAACCGCTACTTATAGTCACACAAGTAATCACTTACATTACACTAACCTATAGCTATTTGCTTACGTTACATGCACTGAGCATAGACACAAACGTGACAAGTACAGATGTTGCTCCCCCAATGTTGTGCACACACTTCATCAGCAAAAACGCTCATTTCGGCCTGCTTTAAAATGTCCGAAATACTGCTAGATACAATGTATGAAACATTCACCTATTAACACAGTGTTACAGCTTTTAATTAAATGACATAATCGAGTTGTATTAACGATCTTTTCGTTCAGTTTTTGAGAACAATAATTTAATCATAATATGTTACTTACTACCTTTAATTTTGCCAAAATATTGAACCCAATATTGGTTTTTGAGAAGAGTGCGTTAATAATGTTGTTATATAACATGTGCCCAAACCTATCCTGTTTTGTGACAATTAATCATGTTTAAGTAAATCAAATTATTTGTTTTAATTGATTTCTGGAGGTGTGCTTACTACCGCCGTTAGTGTTACCCCAGCCGGTGATCCTACACAATGCTCCTGCTGCTTGGACGTTGTTAGAACGCTATGTCAAACTGATTGGCTGTGCGTTCCCGTTAAAGCTCATTGCTTGTACCTTCATTATTACAATATCGTTTGGAAAGCCACAAGAGCCAACCCCATAATTTTCATGCTGCCAAGTTAAAATATGTCACCGCTACAGTTTAATATATTATAAATGAGGGTTGGCCTGCTGTATCCAATAAGATGATAGCAGCACGCAATTATTGATGCATCCCCTACGAAATCAAAGTTTTTCTCTGCATACCGAGAAAACAGAAAAGCCCAACACTAATCTATAACATTGTTTTCATCAGTTGATATTTTTAGTTAAACATTTGTTCTCTTTTTTGTGTCTTCATTTGGCTTGTAAATGTGAAACTCGAAAACAGATATTTATATGTGAATAAGTAAAATGAAAGGCCGAAAGTGATCCAGCTAGTTGATGAGGTACAAACTATGAAACAGTATTCGCGTTCTAAATAAGCAATTTTGCAAAGAACAATCGGATAAGTAAAGAAAAACTATCTATTTTTATCGACAATTCAAATTGATCGTTGCAAAACCACTCATTTGATATATCGTCGACTAGCGCGAACTATATCGGTCTTATTTACTATAAAATTGTTGTCACGCTATAAATTGATATTCCAAGATATTTAATAGTTGTCTAGCAATTGAAAGGCATTGAGTACCTGTTATCAGTTGACCTCAACAGACCTTATCAATCACATTCAGTTATATTTTCTTTAATTCACAGCTTAATATTATTATCCTTTTTAGGGTTAGGGTTAGAACTTATTATAAACAAAGATAAAGTACACTTACCAGCTTGGGAGTAGAAACACTGACACTGTTACCAGTCATTAATGATCCACTACCGTACTGTATACTGTAAGGCATGTAATAAACATATCATTATTATCCACTACCGTACCACACCCAATAAACCCTAAAATAATCATAACGTTATTACCTACTTCCGTACCGTACGACGTAAACCCTATAATTAACGTATCGTAAGTTCCCACTACCGAAAAGTACTCTGTAATCCATATAATTCACATATCATTATTATCCACCACCGTGCCGTACGCAGTAATCCCTATAATATACATATCATTATTATCCATCACCGTGCTGTAGATGTAATCCCTATAATTCACATATCATTAGTATCCACTGCCGTGCTGTACTCTGTAATCCCTATAATTCACATCTCATTATTATCCACATATCATTATTATCCACCGCCGTGCCGCACGTACGCAGTAATACCTATAATATACATATCATTATTATCCACCACCGTGCCGCATGTTCGCAGTAATCCCTATAATTCACCTATCATTATTATCCACCACCGTGCCGTTCGCTGTCATCCCTATAATTCACATATCAGTATTATCCACCATCGTGCCGTACGCAATTATCCCTATAATTCACATATCAGTATTATCCACCATCGTGCCGTACGCAATTATCCCTATAATTCACATATCGTTATTATCCATCACCGTGCTGTAGATGTAAT